AGGAATGCCATTTAAACATAAGGAAAAAACCCAAACTTTCCTGTGAAGGTGGCCAAACACTGAACAGGCTGTGCAGACAGGTTCTGGATTCTCCATCCCTGGAGATAGTAAAAACCCAACAGGACATGGTCCTGAGAAACCTGCTGTAGTTGACACTGTCTTTACCACGTCTTGGACTAGATGATATCCAGAGGCCACACTTCCAACCTCAACTATTCTGTGATTCTGTAATTTTCTGAAGTATTGAGTGCCTAATTACATCCAGCCTGACACAGTGTTCCTCTGGCCTTTCTATTGCTTTGGAACATTGCGATCTACTATAATTCCAACAGGAACTTCTTAGCTTCCTCTTGGATGGCAGATTTACCTCCACTTTCAAAGTGCCCTGGCATTTCTTGGCTGTCCTTCCCTCATTTGCTCTATTAATAACTAAGATACCATTATCCAGGCATTATCTGATGAACAACAATAAGTATGCATTTGCCTAGCAAACCCCTTAGCTGACGTACATACAGCCCTGTGACCCGCCCTTTCCCAAAAAAAATGCAGTTCTCTTGCAACCCAGCCTGGAATCCTCACTTAGCCTTCACCAGTACCGAACACCTTCAGTGTATGCTGCACTACTGGCTGGTCCCAGACTGCCCACATCAGGTGAAGCTCAGCAAGTCAGAGCAGCTTGTGGGTACTATAATACCAATTTTATAGAAGATAAACCCACCAACATTCTCAAGAACATGGAAGAAGGGAGGAAGTACCAATGCTTTCTTATGCTCTCCTACCATCACTCAGTTGTGCTACACAGAAATGAAATACCCCACTAACTGCCTGCAGCTGAGCCCCAGACACTCCAGCTGGAGAAGCCTAGTCCAAGGGATCCAAGCTCTCCTTGCTTTTACACACACAGCCAGTACAAGTCTTAACCCAAGCAGGTATATCACTGGGTGGTGGCCCATGGGCAAATGGCTTCCTGGTGGATGCCACAGTCCTGTTCAGCCCATGACTTGCAGCTTCTTTTATTTCAGTAACAAAGGGCTACGTTTTGCACCCACTTTCCTGTCAGGACGGGGCTTCAACTCCCACTGACACGATGACAGATTTTCATTTTAATAATAAAACTCTGTGAAACAGGCTACCAGTATATTACCTGAAGTCTGCAAAGAAATATGAAGTAGTAAGGGACACTGCAAGTGCACCTGTCCCCACAGACACTCTCATTAGGGTGGTAACGGATGAATAAAATGTACCCAGAAGCTTGTGCAGGCAGACCACCTCTGTGCTGAGGGGATCACCAAGCAGGACCCAACCTTCTAAACCAGCCGGTGCACAAGGGTCAAGAGCAAGCCAGTAACAGAATCTCACCATGACGAAGCAAAATGGCACACCCTCCTGTCCTGCCACAGGACACCAAAGGGCAGGGTTCAGTGATAGGAAAAGGGAGATTAAGAGCTGTAGCCCTGCCTTATTAAAACTGTCTGAGGAGGCAGACCCTTTGAGCAGGGGGTTGGACTAGATCATTTCCACAGGTCCCTTCCAGTCTCAACGACTCAGGCTTCTGGGCTCCTAATCCCGCGATGGAATACATACACGTCTCTCCACCACCCTGGAAGTGCCTGCCCTGCCTACAGCAACATATCCCCAGCCACACCAGGAAT